TCAGACTTTTTTTTTTTTTCAGAATTTGGATTTTATTTCCCAGAATTAACGATTGAATTCAGACTCGTTTTTCCAGTGACCTCACTTCCTGTTCCTCTCCGTTTCCAGTCCCCACAGACGCTCTGGCAAACAAACTGTTCGGCGTTCCCGATCCGTCCTCCACGGCGCGTTCGCTGCCCACCACCGTGCCCGAGTCTCCCAACTACCGCAGCGCCCGGACGCCCCGCACGCCGCGCACGCCCCACAGGAAGGACGCCGCCATGACGCCGCGCTTCTACCCGGTGGTGAAGGAGAGCCGGCCGGTCGACGCCAAGGCAAGACGAAGAAACTCGGAGTTTGACGAGGAAACTTGATCCGAGTCTTACGGGTTTCGTCTGTTTCAGACGCCGAGGAAGAGGAAGACCCGGCACAGCTCCAACCCTCCTCTGGAGTGCCATGTGGGCTGGGTGATGGACTCCAGGGAGCACCGCTCCCGCACCGCCTCCGTCAGGTGAGACTCACACCTGCTCAGGTACGCAGGAAGTGCTGGCTTAACAGAGAGGAAACAAGCTGTTAGGTTTTCATGGAAAACGAACCAAAGAGTCTTTCTGTGGTTTGTGTTGCCCCGCCCCTCCAGCTCCAACGCCAGCCCGTCTGAAGGGACGCCCGCCCTCGGCGCCGTCGGCTGCACGCCGCAGTCCCTGCCGAAGTTCCAGCACCCGTCACACGAGCTGCTGAAGGAGAACGGCTTCACGCAACACGTCTATCACAAGTACCGCCGGCGCTGCCTGAACGGTAAGCCACCCTCGCTGCCGCCGCCGCCTGCCGATTGGCGACCTGAACACTGTTTTCTTCGCCCATCGCAGAGAGGAAGCGGCTGGGAATCGGCCAATCGCAGGAGATGAACACGCTGTTCCGGTTCTGGTCGTTCTTCCTGCGGGATCACTTCAACAGGAAGATGTACGAGGAGTTCAGGCAGCTGGTGGTGGAGGACGGCAAGGAGGGCTACAGGTAGTGGTCGCTCCACAGCGCCTCATTGGCTGGTGCGGTGCGGTGCGTTCTGATTGGCTGTGTGCTGCAGGTACGGTTTGGAGTGCCTGTTCCGGTACTACAGCTACGGCCTGGAGAGGAAGTTCAGACCCGATATCTTCAAGGACTTCCAGGAGGAAACCATGAAAGATTACGAAGCAGGTCAGGAAACGAATTAATCACGATTAATCGATTGATTTAGTTATGGATTAATCATTAACTGGGGCAGAAATAAAAACATTTTGCATTTAAAATGAAAAACTCTTTATTGTCTGTAAAGATTTTCCACCAAAAATTCTTCAAATGACAAATTTATTTTCACCTGGATCAAATTCTGATAAAAAAAAAAATCTTTTAAGCAGTTAATCCAATAAATAATCCCAGATAATTTCTCCACTGGACTGATTCTCAGTTCAAGTTTTCTCAGGTAGAAATATTTTTAGGTTCATCTTTTGCTACAAACATTCACTAAATGAATAGGTATAATATCTATTCTATTTTATAAAATAAAATGTTTTTTATTGTATAAAAATAATTGAAAAACTGTTAAATCTGCTAAATGTGACAATTTTTAATCAGATTGATCGATTACTAGAATAACTGTTCAGCTCCGTAAACAATTAAAAAACACATGTATCATTTTCAGTGTCGCATTAAATCCCATGAAATGAACTTTCCAGTTTATCTAACGAGTTCTGGATGCTGTCCTCTGCCGGGTCTCAGGTCAGCTGTACGGGCTGGAGAAGTTCTGGGCTTTCCTCAAATACTCCAAAGCCAAGAACCTGGAGATCGAACCCAAACTGCAGGAATGTCTGAGCAAGTTCAAACGCCTGGAGGACTTCAGGATCGACGTGAGTAAACAGCAGAAGAAGAAGGCCGACTCTGCGCCAGTGATCGATTAGGAAAATTCCTTAAAGCAAATGAAATTTAGTTTAATATCATCCAGATCAAAAAGAGCAATGATGTGGAAAAATAGGAAATATTTTCATCTTAAAAGAAGGAATTTAATAATTTGCCGACATTTTCTCATCTTTTTGCAAGCATAAGTGGCTACTACAGAACAGGACCGTTAATTTATCCAATTAGTCATCAGAATAATCCAGATAATCCTCCATCAGCTTGTCTGTACATCCTGGAAAAGTATTAAATTCATGTATTTAAAATTGAGGCCTTAAAATGTCTTAAATTCATTTTTAAGTTGTCCTTAAGTAGGATCAATCACAGGTCTTAAACTTTGTCATGGCAGAACTATTTTATACTGCAGGGTGGCCCTCAAAAACGTAGCCCGCGTTCTTATAGTGTCACTGCCGGCCTTCCGTAAAGAAAGAAAGAACTTGAAATGCCAAAATCTTCACTCACTCTTTACAGGAAGTGCTGGAAATGATCCCCTGGTGCGTCAATGCAGTTTTGGGCGCGCCTTATTGCCATACATGCAACGCAACTCTGGGGCACCAATGCTCTGAATTGCATTACGAATATTTTCTTTCAACTGCTGTAAATTTTTCGGGTTATTAGCGTACACTTTGAAAAGTGTACGAAAAAGTAAAAAAAGAAACTTTTTCATGGGCCACCCTGTATATTGTTTTTTTGTTGTTTTTTTTCCTGTAAGTTGAGGCATTGTAGGCTAACGCTAACAAGCTGCTAATATACAATTTCATGTGTGTAATGAGCTGTTTTATACATTTCTGTTGTGATTTGGGTCTTAAGTTTCATTCAGTGATCTTAAATATTGTGTTTCATGTTTGTAAATTAAGGCCTTAAAATGCCTTAAATTAAGAAGAAAAAGGTAAGTTGGCCTTAAATACATTAATTACAGGTCTTAAATTTTGAGATGGCAGCACTAATATCTCCAGGATCGTTTTCTTGTTCTGATTTGAGGCAGTTGATGTGACTGATAGCAACTGGCTGATATAGCCCTGCTAGCTAGCATTTTTGCATTTCTTGCTAACTAGTTTTATATATATATATATATATATATATATATATATATATATACATATATATATATAGTAGATTTGTTGTGATGCAGGTGGATTTAAAAGTCTTAAATTCATGTTGATAAAAATTTCCTAAATTTAAAAAATGTAGGTCAGAAATCTTCATCACAGATCTTAAATTTTGTCAGGATTATTTAATCTCACAAGTATTTTTATTTTTTTGTCTTCAGGTAATAAAGGCTACAGTTAGCATCCTGCTTTCTAGCTAGCTTTATATACATTTGCTATTTTGTACCGGTCTTAAATTTAATTTAAAATGTTGTTAAAAGTCTTAGATTTGAGTTGCTGAAGGCGACAGAAACCCTGAATCCTGAGTCATTTCTTCACTTCCTGAAGCGTTTTGTCCTCTTCCAGCCTCCGATGGACGACGGCGGACGCAGGAGACACCCGTCCAGCGGAGACGGCCGGCGCCGCCACCCCTCCCAGCCCTCCAGCCGGCCCCACAGCCAGGCCAGCGCCGCCGCCCCTCCCACACCCGTTGCTGCTGCTGCCGGCTCCTCAGCCAAGGACGTTGCCAAACCCGCCAACCAGAACCAGAGAGCCGCTGCAGAACCGGACGCCAAAACACTGAAGTAACTGTGGCGCGGTTCTACAGGGACCGAGCCGAGCGGGTCCGCCTGGCGCCGGAGGGGAGGGGCGCTTCATTCGTTCATCTGATCAGTTTCAGAACAAAAACTGTTGATTTTGATTTCTCTCTAGAGGTTTAAATTTGTGGATAAATCACTGAAGAACGAGTTCCCCCCCACCGCTCCGTCTGGAAGGTTCTGTCTCCTCGGACCGGACCGGTTCCTCAGCCTGAGATGAATCTGACTCACGGCGTCAGGCTGTGAATGTTGCCTTATTTTGATGGTTTTTCTGTCGCCTCCTCGCTGTTACCATAGTTACCACGGTGGCCTGTTCCAGCAGCGGCCACCAGGTGGTGCTGCCGGGTTTCCCATCCGTCTGAACCGTCTTCCTTCTGTTACTGAGGTTTAAAGATGGCCGCCTTCTGGCTCCTCCTCCTTCCATCAGTCAGCAACGCTAAGCCACCGGACCCAGAACCGGACCCAGAACCGGACCTGATGATGTCGTCGTGTAAATGTGAACAGATGATGATCAGCAGATTCTTTATTTTCCGTGTCTTTAACTCTTTAGTTTAATTTCTTTTGTTTAATTTGTTCTGCTTTGGTTAGAACAGAGGAACTTTAACACAAAAGGGAAAATCGACTTTTCGTGATCAAATCTGATTATTTTTAGGTAAAACCTCCAAATGGGTAAAAAAATAACAGCAAGACAGACTAATTATTAAATCTCTTCAGATAATTTCTGTCTGGTAAATTCTTTAAAAAAAAAAAAAAGTTGAGGTATGAATTAGATATTTGTACATTTTTGTGAGAAACTTGAGAGAAAACATAAAATGTTGACAAAAGGAGCAAATTAATAAATTAGAATATGATCTTTATGTCGGTAATGTGATTCTAAAAGTCCAGATTCATTACATGCAGTGACACATTTTAACGTTTTGTGGCTCTCAGAAAATTTAAAGATTATATTAGAGCTATTTAAAAAAGAACATTTTTAATTTTTATGTGAATTTTGTGTCCATTTACTGAATCAACAGTCCAGACTCCGACTCCTCAAACTGCAAAGGATAAATATAAATTTACTTCCCAATCAAAAGACAATTCTCCACAATTCTCAGAAATTATTTTTTTAATCTGCTGCACTTTTTCCTTCCCCACGACTTTCCATTAACATGCTTGCATACAGCAATCAGAATGGCTTTTTGTTTTTTTTTTTTGTTTTTTTACTATTTAAATTTCCTGAGAAGCTGAATTTTTAAATTTTATGTTTTTGGCTGTGACCTTTGACATTAACCAGATTAAACTGCTGAATTTCCCCGTTTGTGTTGAATCTGGAAAAAGCAGAGACTCTGTCCTGATTGGCTGATTTCTGGTGATGAAGGTCATTCTGAAGGTCGCGTTCTGCCGTCTGTTTTTTTTTTTTCTTTTCCCCCAGTCTCTGTTGGACGTAAAAATGGGAAACCTTCCTCTTCCTCCCAGCTCATCCTCTTCCTCAGAGCCTCCCGTTTATGTGGCGGGAAGAATCCATCTGCTGCTAGCTGCCGCTGGACACCAGGGGGCGCCGCTGGACACCAGGGGGCGCCGCTGGACACCAGGGGGCGCCGCTGGACACCAGGGGGCGCTGCCCGCTCAGTCGGGTGTGAACAGAAAGACTGGAGATCCGGACGGAAAACTTGGCTGCTTATGAGACTGAAAAGGACAAAAGTTTCCATGAAGCCATATGAATAAGAACTACCTGAACCATTTAATATTTCCTTTGGCTTGTTATGAGGAAAAAAAATATGAAAACGAGGATAAAAGGAACAAAAAAATATATATATAAAGTGGCAAAAAATGTAAAATACTTGAATGAGAGCTTGTATTATAACATTTAATATTCCTAATATCTGCTTTGTAGGCTGATGTGATTCGCTATTAGTGTTATTTGTAATTTGTAGTAATTATGCTTTATCCTTTAATAAAGAAAAAAAAAACTGAAAACGCACAAAAAAAACCCTGAAAGCGGCGCAGGAGAGTGATTTCTGACGGAGCAGGAAGTCCCTCTGGCTTCCTCTTCCTTAGTGCTGCTAAATCCATATCTCTGCTTCACCTACCTTTAGATTTTTTTGGGGGAAAAAAAAGTTCACAGATAAAATCTCTGGATTTCCATGTTTCAGAGATGAACTTGGGTTTGAATTCTGGTCGACTAGCAGCAGCCAGGCTGAGATGATTCCTCTTCAGTTATGACAATAAAGTCGTACAGTATGCAAAATAACAAAAACTAAGTGTTAATATAACCAGAATACAGAAAACACAAAAAGTCGCAATGAAATTGAAATAAAGCGTTTATTACTTGCATTATTTTAAACAAAACTTATTTCAGTCGTTTACAGATTTAAATTCTCCACTTTTCTTCAGAATCAAAAGAATGAAAACGTCTGAAACATTTTAATGTTCCTATGAAAATATTCTGCATGTTTTACTGAAAACATCTGGATCTGAAATCAAAACGAGACGAAGTTCTGCTGGAACCGACTAACTGGATTCATGACCAGGTTGCAGCTGGAGATGGTCGACATTTCCTTTATCAAATAATTAACATGTTAACAAATCAAAGCGCTGCAGGAGCTGCCAACGCCGGGGTCAAGGGTTAAGGCTCCCACAATGACCGGGACCCGCTGAGAGGGGAGGTCGGAGGTCGTCACTGGCCCTTCTTGTGGTTTTCGGGGATGCTGTGGGTGAGCGGGGTCAGGCTGGTGAGCAAGGTGTGCCGCTCATACTGCTTCGTCTGCCGGAAACGGGAGTCGGTGCCGTGCAGCCGGTCCAGAACGCCGAACACGCCGAAGCACTGGTTGAACCTGGAACCAGGAGAGGCAGAGATCAACTTCCGGCCCGGGGGCCGAACACGGCCCGCTACAGACATTAATGTGGCCCTCCAGAACTCACCAATCTATCAACGTCAACAGGTCTCTGCATTTTTCACACTAACGCATTGAGTTTATTCCAGATTTTCTGTAGAAATGGTCAAGCAGCTGCCCCCTGCTGGTGGGAATTAACATTAAATGATGCTAATTCCCACCAGCAGGGGGCAACATTACTGCTGTCTGAGCCTGACCTCACTTATCCTCATAATTACTGTCATAAGCACAAATATTGCAAAATGTTGCAAATATTTCTAAAGTATCTTCATAAAAACAGACTTTGATTAAATTCTGGAGCGAAAAACATGAAACGATGTTTAGTATTTGAATTAGTTTGTTTTGAAACCTGAGAAAGATGCTGATGTTTCATCTCTGCGTTCTGCAATGACTGAATGTGACGGGACCATTGGGATGGGTTCCTAAGGTCGGGTTCGTGGGGTCGGGTTCCTAAGGTCGGGTTCCTAAGGTCGGGTTCCTAAGGTCGGGTTCCTAAGGTCGGGTTCC